TCAGGGAACAGTAGTTATATGCATAACATTACGTTCCCTTTCAGTCAATTCACTCGGTACAACATCATGTATGGGACATATATAAACGCCCTGCAGAGCAGCACCAAACTTGGGTCATAATAACATGCTAGTGCAGCACATCAGACCCAGCGGAGAGCACAGAGTGAGCCACCGAAGGGGCTGTCACATCTGATAAAATTGAACAAATGTGTGCGGTGAAGACCAACTGGCCGCAGCACAGATGTCACTCACAGGTACCCCTTTAAATAGGGCCCAGGACGCTGCCACACCCCTGGTGGAGTGAGCTCTCACACCAGATGGGACTGGGAGGCCCCTGCTGCTGTAAGCTAAMGAGATAGCCTCCACAATCCAGTGGGAGAGTCTCTGTCTGGACAGAGACCTGCACCTGAGTGGGTTAGCAACACACACAAACAGCTGATCACATGACCTCACCTCCTGTGTACGGTCAATGTAAATACGCAGTGCACGTAGAGGACACAAAGAATGTAATCTCCTCTGATCCTCAGATGCAAAAGGGGGAGGATAAAAACTAGAAAGCTCAATAGACATGGAGCTGTAGTTAGAAGGTATCACCTTAGGGAGATACGCTGAGTTTGGATGCAGAACCACCTTGGAGCCATCAGGTGAAAACTGAATACAGGAGGGATTTACAGACAGAGCATGGAGATCCCCGACCCGTTTAACAGTTGTTAGAGCTAAAAGCAACACCACTTTATGTGAAAGAAACTTCAAATCCACAGACTCCAAGGGCTCAAAAGGGGGGTCACAGAGAGCCTTGAGCACCACAGTAAGATCCCAGGTAGGGATACTGGGTTTAATAACAGGCCGCAGCCTACGGACCCCCTTCAGAAAACRCACTGCTAGAGGATGAGCACCTGGCGTAACTCCATCAAARCCCACATGGCAAGCAGAGATAGCTGCCAAGTAGACTTTAATTGTGGAAAAAGCCAGACCTTTATCCAGTAGCTCCTGTAGGAATGTTAAAACATCCACCACAGAGCACTGAAACGGGACAATGTGCCTAACCTCACACCACTGSTCGAAAGCGTGCCACTTGTAGGTATATAAACCTCTAGTGGAGGGCGCTCTCGCGTTCTGGATAGTTGCCACCACAGCCGGGGGAAGGCCCCTGGCTAGCAAGCAGGACCTTTCTGCCAGGGCTGAGCAGCCAGCAGGCTGATTATCTCGGCGTACCAGGACTTCGCTGGCCAGTGGGGTGCCACCAGAATCAGAGACAGACCCTGTCTGCGTACCCTCTCTAGTACAGGCAGTATCATCTCCACTGG